AGATTGCCCAACCTTCCTTCCGAGGAATGGCTGATGGGTTTGAACCGCCAGCCTTCTGGTTAGCAGTCAAGTGCCTTAGTGCATATATATATGCGGTGTCCTGGCATTGATTACTTAGAGTAGTCCCCAGACCTAAAGAATCGATGCTATAAACTGAAATGTCCTCTGGGATCTGCAGAAGCCACTGTGTGAGGAACATGATGACAGAATCCAGCCTCATGCTTTGAGTGAGAGAGTTAGGGAGCAGAGGTAAAGACACCTGAGACTGTAAAGGACCAGGAATATATATACACATATGCGTTTGTGTGTTTGTGTGTGTGTGTGTGTGTATACATGTTGTTGTTGTTTTGTGCTATGTGCCGTCAAGTCGGATCCAACTCTTCATGGCCTCTCCTTGGGTTTCCGAGGCAGTATCGCTACGGAAGTAAATTGCCCAACCTTCCTTCCAAGGAGTGGCTCATGGGTTTGAACTGCCAGACTTCTGATTATCAGACGAGTGCCTTAGTCACTATGCTACCAGAGCTCCTAATACAGTCTCTAGGTGAGAGTTAATAGTCTCTTATTGGCTTCCAGTGAAAATCAAGTAAGCAGCACCTGCATACCTCTGACCAAAAAACAAAAAATCACCTAGTGCCACCACAAAGGGAAACGTGCCATTTATACCTGACCACTGGACTTGAGGTTAGAGAATTAGCTAAAGGAGTTTTCCGTGAGAACATCCAGCTTTGACACCCGGATCCTTTGTAAACCCAGGGGGTCAGTAAAAGTACATGGCCCTTTCCAAAATGACTGTAGGATGAGACAGGTACCTTGAAAACAATTGTGCCATCTCCCAGAGAGGTTTGTTGTTTGTTTTCTTTTTGTTACTTTATGCAGTGTGTCCAGGAACTGTGTGTGCTGTGCATATACAAATCAACACACTCAGCAGCTAGTGAATGTATGACCTATGGCTGTTCCAACACAGTGAGCTTGTCAATGAAGGTGAGGGGGTCATGATCACAGAGAAAAGGGTGTTAAAAGTAAGTAGTTTTCCAAGGTCTTTTAGAAACCTTCACAGCAAGAGATGATGTTAGATTTCATGCCTCCCTATGAAAACAGTAACTTTAAAATTCTGGCATAGAGCCAGGGCACAGTCTTTAAAATTGCTTTCAGATATCACAGATTTTTTTTCCAAGTTAGGCCACAGGGTCAGATTTCCTCAAGAAGGCTGAATATTTGCCAAATGGTTGGTAAAAAATCCTTCACATTATGAATTTGGGGCTTGGGGAGGCAGAGAATCCAGGAGAGTTAGGCAGAGGAGCCTGCGCTGCTGAAGACTCGGAACAGCACAGCGTCCCGGCACTGATTACTCAGAGCAGTCCCCAGCGGTCACAGATCTTCCTTTGTGTGGAGAGAAAGAAACGCTTTAAATCACCACCCAGAGCTACAGTTTCTTTCCTAACAGTAGAAACCAGCCCCTGCTAATCAGCACTAGACCTAAAGAATAGAGGCTGTAAACTGAAATGTCAATCATGCACATGGTAAGTCAAATCTTCAATTTCCCCATTTACAAAATGGTGTTTAACCTAATTACTTAATGGAAGTGTTGGGAGAACTTGGCATTCAGGCATTCTCAGACATTATGCTACAGGCATATGATTTTCTTTTTCAAACAAAAAAAAAAAAAAAAAAAATCACAACCCAAACTTGATCCATAGTTTCAACACAATCCCAATCAAAATCTCACCAAATTATTTTGAATATTAACAAACTGATCTGAAGGTTTATATGGAAAGGCAAACACCAAGAACACAATAGAGAGCTCTGAAATAGCCTCAGCAAATAAAGTCAATTGATCTTTAACAAAGGAGCAAAGGCAATTCAATGGACAAAGGATAGTTTCAACAAATGATGCTGAAACAACTGGACATGCACATGCAAAAAAAATGCAGACAGAACAAAAATTAAGTGCAAATTGATTATAGACCTGAAGGTAAGATATAAAACTATACAATTTTTAGAAAAAAATCTAAGTGGCCTTGGACTTAGCACTGCCTTTTTAGGTCCAATACCAAAAGCAGAATCCATGAAAGAAATGATTGATTTTGGACTTCTTTAAAATTAAAACTTTCTTATCTGCAAAAAGACACTATTAAGAGAATGAAAAGACAAAGCATGGATTGTTGTTGTTCTTGTTGTTGTTGTTGCTGTTGTTATGTGCCTTCGAGTCAGACCTGACTCATAGCGACCCCTCCTTGGGTTTCCAAGGCAGTATCACTACAGAAGTAGGTTGCCCAACCTTTCTTCCGAGGAGTGGCTGGTGGGTTTGAACCACCAGCCCTCTGGTTAGCAGTCAAGTTCCTTAGGCACTACACTACCAGAGCTCCTAAACATGGATTAGCAGAAAATATTTGCAAAACACATCTGATAGAGAACTATCAAAACTCAAGAATAAGGAACAACCCAATTGCAGAAGATCTGCACAGATATCTCACGTAAAAAAAATACAAATAGCAAACACATATATGAAAATATGCTCAATATTTTACATCATGTGGAAATTGCAAATTAAAACAGTGAGATATCAGTAAAAAGTTACTACGATGGCTAAAATTCAAAACATTGCCAGCACCAAATGCTAATGAAGATAGGGAGAAACAGAAACTTCCATTCATTACTGGTATGACTACAAAATGGTACAACCACTTTTTGAGACAATCTAGCAGTTCCTTACAAAGCTAAATATAAGTTTACCATATCAGAAATATCTCCTCTCATTTGGTATTTACCCAAATGACAAAAATTATGTCTCCATAAAAGCCTGACCACACACGTTTATAGCAACTTTATTAACAATTGCCAAAACATGGAAATAACCAAGATGCCCTTCAATAGTTGAACAGATAAACTATGGTA